AGTTACAGATAAGCAACTTGCAAAACATTTCTGAAAATAAAGAATGTCACATGATCATGACCTCTCATCTGGGCTTCTATTTTACATCCAATACTGAATAAACTAAAGTGCCTAGGAAGAAATGTGGTATTCAGATTGATTAATCTTTGCCATGGGATTGCTAATGTTGAAGAATATCTTCTTCAGAATCTTTGTTGGATTCCATGGAACATTCCTTCTGTTTCCAGTGTGTTTGACACAGGATTTCACAGCATCTCCTGTTTCTCCAAATACTCCTTACCTATGGGTTTCCAACGCCCCAACTGAAATTTGTGATGAAATGCACAACATAACCATAGATATGAGCCTCTTCTCCTTATCAGGAAGCCCCCATAGACAGATCACAGAGCAAGGCGTTGCAACATTTTATCTTTATAAACTTGGCTACTACCCTTTTATAGAGTTACAAACCAGTACAAATGTGAACGGAGGACTCCCCCAGTTGGGATGTCTAAAAACCCACTTGGAAAAAGCTATTAATGACATTAATTACTACATTGCATCGGATAAAATGGGCTTGGCTGTCATTGACTGGCCATATTGGAGGCCTCTCTGGACACAAAATGGGGGTCCAAGAGTCATTTACAAAAATACGTCTATTGAGCTTGTTCTCAAGAAAAATTTAACACTTACTTATGATGATGCCACCGAAGTTGCCAAAGTCGAGTTTGAAGAGGCAGGAAAGAATTTCATGCTAGAGACTTTAAAATTGGGAAAATCACTACGGCCGAAATATTTATGGGGATTTTATTTATATCCTGAATGTCATAATAGACGCTATAATATTTCCGGTTACAATGGAAGTTGTGGTAATACAGATAGGAAAAGAAATAATAACCTCGACTGGCTGTGGAAAGAAAGCACTGTCCTTTACCCATCCATTTATTTGAATACCGAAATAAGTAAAGCACAAGTCACCACAGTCTATGTCCGGAGTCGTGTTCTGGAAGCCCTTCGTATTTCTAAAGTGCGGGACAATAAAGACCCACTTCCGGTGTTTGCGTTCCTCCGCCCAGTGTTTGATGATCAGTCTGACATATTCATTTCTGAAGTAAGTAAATCAAGGGATGAGGGTTATGAAATAGCATCTACCATGGGGTTTAGTCACATTTTAGAAGGAAGAGACTGTTAGCTTTTCATACATAGCCCTTGGGACTATGCAAACAGGTATTACGCCCATTCCATAAATGCAAAATAAGTACGTTTCAACTCTAATGCCTTTGCAATCATGGAATAAGGTAGTACAAGCAGCTTTTTTTTTTTTTTTAAAGATTTACTTATTTATGTATACATAACTGGGGTACAGGCCAGACGCGCAGTTAGAGTCTTCACCAGACACAGAGTGGGGAGCAGAACAGGCAGAATGATAAAGTGCACTGCTGAGGGGACCAGAGAGAGGTCTGTCGCACCCTGTGGATCAACTCCGGGCGGGGATCCAACTCACGCTGAAGTGCTTTAGCTTCTTAGTGCTGTGCTTTAACCGGCTGCACCACCAGGTAGGGCCCAATAAAGGCAACGTTTAGCTCAGTTATTTCCTGTTTCTTTCCTCTGCGTCTTCTCTTGTAAATAGAAGGAATTAAAATCATGATATTGAACTTTTATGTTTGGTATAGTAGGTCAGTGTTGTGTAAAAGATAGAAATAAATTGTGGGGTAGTACTTGAAAATATTATTCTGAGCTCTCCATGCTTCGCTTATATGTTACTGTTCATGCATAATAATTTCAAGTTATTCCCATCTATTAACTCTTTGTATTGCATTCCCCAGACTGACCTTGTGCATACAATTGGTGAAAGCATTGCTCTAGGTGTCTCTGGAATCATAATATGGGGAGGCTACCAATTAACCGAAACTGAGGTAAGATGTGTAGGCAGTGGATTAAAACATTTCTATTCTTAATGAGTTAGGATGTTATTGGAGGTGTTAAATAATAAAATAAGTATTGTGTGCTTGGCACGTGAATATTAACAGACTCAAAATTCCTTTCATTCGTCTTCTATTGTGAAGGAGAAAACTTTGTAGCTGTTCCCAGTGAGTTTAATTAAAATTCTCTAGACAGATGGCTAGGAAATAGAAAACACAGACCTAGAATGCTAGTTTTATGACATGGTGTTTGGTGATTTTTCTATCACACCTGTATCTATTTTTAAAAGAGTTGCAACTAGTCAACATGCATTCCTTTGTTTATTCTTTCATTTAACTGATGTTTATTGAGCAGGTATTTATTCAATTAGTCTATTGAATGACAATCTCTTGCAGAGGTCAGCAATTAATGACACTGGACCAACCCTGGCTGGCTGCTTCCTTTCCCAAGAATCATTTATACCATTTGAATGGATAGGGAAAATATGAAAAGAATGGTATTTCATAATAATTAAAAGTTATGGAAAGTAAAATGTTCTTGTCAGTATAGCTTCATTGACTCATATGTTGAAATGTTCAGGGCTGATTTATACCTCCAAGGCATCAATATTTCATTAAGGCAGAGACTGTATCACTGGAAAGCTTGCAATTTTTTTCTGTCTGGCTTATACCCAAAAATGTTTGCTAACCTGTCTGCTGTGATTAGTTGTCAAGTAACGTTTAAGTGCTGGAAATGTAATAGCGACCAAGTCACAGTTCCTCTGCCTCCATTCTCAGAGCTGGGAAAACAAGCACAGATAGAGCGGTCAGGTAGCATGATGCACGAAAGAGCCAGGGCGCAGAGTGCACTGTCGGAGACCAGCTCCAACTTTTAGGTGTCTGGAGGCAGGCCAGGCAGGACCCTAAGATGGGAAGTCGTCGGTGTGCAGAAATTCCAAGAAGGGGAGAGGGAGTGAGGAAGACACGGGAGTCGTAGTTGGGTGCAAATCTTCCTGCTCATCTTTTTGCAGCTCTTTATTTATACTGTTTAGCAAGATTTAGTTACAATAATGCCTTAGGTAAGTTACTAAGAAACCGACATAAAAGTTTCAAAGGAAGAGGGGAACAATGCACCTTTTTCCTTCTACTTTATGGCACACTATACTATACATCTTTGTGATAACTTTCATGTATACGGATGTTTAACTGTGACTTTAAAGGATCAGGGTCTGGGAAAGGATGAGCTGTTAGCAAAGGATTTAAGAGTCCTAGGGAAGGAATAAATTGTGTTACCATAGTCGTCAGTGATAGCCTAAAGAGAAGCTAATGGCTAAATTAAGGCTAGCAAGGAGTAGCTAGTGTTTGTTTAGGAAGAGGTTAAATAAGATTAGCAGAGAGTAGTTAGTGATAGTTTTAGGAAAAGAGTAAATTAAGAAGTTACATAGTTGTGCATTAAGCAAAACCTGTGTTGATAATGTTAGGAAATTGTCCATGGGTCCTTATGCCCTGAGAGTTATCTTAAGAATCGCTTTTTGTCAAAAGACCAAAGAAGTTTTCCAGGAGTCTTGATGCTCTGGGGTCTTATCTCTCCAGGAGCTTGCCTTTTGTCTTCAGTCAAAGTAATTTCCTGCCCAGGAGCAGCTCAGCTTGTACTTTGCCCAGGCCAGGTAGTCAATTTAGAGCTAAGGCAAGCCAGTTACAAACTGATGTTGCTACAATATTTTTTGAGATTACGATTATACAAAAAAGGGAGGTCATAACATAAGTTAGCAGTGGAAATTCTGATATTTCAGAGCTTTTCCCGAGCTATCCGGAATCTGTCAGACGATAGCCGTTGCATAGCTTGTGTCAGTGCACAGAGTGGAGAGTGCGGGAATGGTGTTATTTTGGTTGAGGCAGTCACAGAAGGATGCTCTGGTGAGGTGTTTGCAGCAGAGATCCACTGAAATAAGGGACCAAGATACCGGAGGTAAATTTTCGCAGGCTAGGATGTGCCTTAAAGCGTGAGAAGGCCAGTGGGGCTGCAGAGCTTGGGTGAAGAAGAGACAGATAACAGGTGTGGTTTCGAGAGAGCAGGTGGTCACACATGGAGCTTTTACTCTGAGAGGGGAAGCTGCCAGAATCTTTGAGCAGAAGAGCGGCACTTTGGGATGAGCCAGATGGCAGAAGGTGAAGGTGGCAGGAGGGAGAGGGAGCCCTTGCGGGCTTGGGTTGTAGGTGCGGGCAAGTGTTTGGCGGTGACTAGAACCCGACATTAGAATGGAGATGTTGAGGGCGGATTAGAGGAAGAGTCAGAAGATGCCCCCAGATGTCAGACTTAAAGGAGGGACCTCTGGAGGGGAGGGACTTCAGGAGGAGCAGTGCAGCTGAGGCTGCATAGGGAGGAAGAGGGACAGGGTGGGGAGGGGTGTGTGGAGAGGGGTGGGGAGAGGGGGGCCAGAATGGGGAGAGGAGGGTGGAGAGTGCATGGGGGGAAAGACCTTCTCCTCTATATTATAAACAAGCAATACTGGATTGAGTTTTTCATACTTGGTTCTCTCTTCCTCCTTGAATCTCATTATCTAAAGCCCAGCTATGATTATGAGAACTGGACTGAGAGGATCCTGATAATTCAGCTTAAACTCCCCGTCTCAGTGTTCATACCCCTCATTCTATCTATAAAGTCCTTTGTCATGTAATGTAACAGAGTTTCAGGTTCCAGGGAATGGATTGTGGGCAGCTTGGACGTTATCCTATGGAAAGGAAGGTAATTGTAAATAGATTCTAGTGGGGGCTGCCAAGATTCCTCCACCTGCCTGCTGGCCTACCACCACTTGCTGGCTCTGCTGGAGATGACAATTCCCACCTCAGCACTGTCACTGTGAAAGAAAGTGGCTATCCTCTGTGTTTCTAAATGAACAGTGTCCCAGTTTTAGGATGCATTAGTCTTCAGTCAGTAGTCTTGAGTCACTCATAATTGCAAATAAATACATTTGTAAAAGAACTGCTTAATTTACCCATAACATGAACTATACATAACATTTACTATAAATTATATTAAATTGAACTGCAGTTGTTTTGAGGTAGTAATTTAGTAACCACTCAATCCGATTAAATGCTATTTTAAACATGCAAGGAAAATATGAGAATTTTATATCTATAGTGTTTTGAGGTGTAATAATGTTCTGGTCCTATGCTAACCACTTTTATACGCTTTGTATCTTTTTACCATAACTTATGATGTCCATGCTATAATCATCTTAAAGATGAGGAAGTGAATGCATAGCCTGATTAATTCACTGTCCAAGATCACTTGGATAGGAAACTAAGATTAAGAATGTTTGGGACTTTCCTAAATTGACAAAGCTGGTCATAGTGTTTGGGGGAAATGATGTCCTGAAGGAATGGTATAGGTTTTGTGGACACCACCCCCATCCCTGACAGTGGAACTACAAATCCCATCATCACCAAAGGGAGGATTACTGGGACCTGGGGATGGAGTTAAGCAGTCAGGTTTGATATAAAACCAGACATTGGGACTTTGGGGCTCTCTTGGCCTCTGGGCTCCTGGCTTGTCTCGGCTTTTCTCTGGCTCTCAGCGTGCTATTGAGGTTCTAAGTCACTGGGACTGGTAGGAGGCATTAACCAACTTATCTTTCTTTCTCCCTGAGTTATTCATTTTATCTTTTCTTTGTAAATAAGCCCATTATTAACTTTTTTTTTTTTTGGCATGCCTACAGCCGAATCTCATAAGTCCCTTTAAGCGCATGGGTGAGGACCCACAGTCAACCCTATTCACATTGGGGTTACCCTATAACAGTAGTGGAACTGAAACTGATCAGAGTAGTGGGATCCAAAGTTAATGCTCTAACTGCTGTAGTTCTGTAACTTCCTCAACCTCATTAATTTGCATTATTGAGGAAGAAAAAGGCAAGTATACTTTAAGTCTCAGTCAGTCATTGTATGTTAAACTTACCAATGTTACTAGGTCCATTTGAAAAAGCAAAGTCCTTGCTTGTGAAGTTTGCCACAGTGGGTGAGTGAGGTTATCCAAAAGAAGGAAGGATTAATCATATTGGGCTGCATGCAAGAAAGAGAACTTGAATTTTGTTCCTAATCTAATGATAAATTTTTTCCTGTCTCTTTCTGTGCCTGCTTTTACACATTTCCTTAGAAATTGCTTATTGCTAGGAGTTAATTCACATAGAAAATAATTGCCCATTATTATTTTGATCTTATAATTTTACAGATAGCTTGCAAAGAAACAGAACATTTTACAATGCAGAAACTGAACCCTTACATAATCAATGTC